TTTTTCTAAAATCCACAGCACTACCAAACTAAGCCAATAAGTAGCTGGATTTTGATAAAAGTCATAAATCTCAAATTATATCTTTCAAAAAAGATCTCTAAATCAAATATTTATTAAAACGAAAGGAAAAAAAGACATTATAAACTAAAACATAAAAACCCAAAATTTAAAGTAATAAGCCAAATAGAAATTAATAAAAATTATAATAAATAGCAGATTTATGAAATTAAATTAAATAAATATCAATTTTTTAAAATTATTTAAAATAAATAACAGTTTAATATAAATCTCAGTTTTATTTAGTTATATTTTTCTTTCTTAGTGTGCTCCACATTAATTGTTTAATCAAGATCAGCATAACTCTATCAATGTCCCTTATTTATTTCACAAACATCTAAATGACTCTATCAACATCTCTTATATTAATTAAAATCAATAATATTGTTTTAATGTTCCGAGTAAATATTCTATACATTTAAGCAAACATACGAAAGTTAAAACATAGTTTGTTTCCAGAATTCTCTGTAAAACTAGATTAGAACTAGGCAAGCATCCCACTTAAAAAAGAATTATCTGTAAAAAATGAGGGAGAAGAAGACTAGCGTGAGTTCCGCCAAGGAACTGAGTCCTAATCATCGTTCGTTTTTACAACAATGCATGCCAATTTAATTGAATTGTGCGATAGACTTTTTTATTTTTTATTTTTTATAAAACTATTTGAAGATGATATTGTAATAACTCGTAAGAACAGGGGATTGCTTGGCTTTTCTTCCTTTTTTTCTTTATCATGCGTTCGTTTGTCGTTTCTCCTAAATTCATATATACCCATCGATATTATTGTTTTATCATATATATATATATATATATATATATATAACAAATTCAATATTGATTGATATAAGGCATCTCAATCCTTAAGTCTTTTCTGTTGTTTAAATTGTCAGTAATGGAGAAGGAATCCCTTGGCGGAGCTTGATGATGGAAATACAAATATTTCGGACTGTTTGCTTGCCAAACACGATTTTAAAATTAATTCACAACTCAAACTGAATTGAACTGAGCAGAATCAATAAAATAAACATGCCAATAATAAATTAGCGATTAAACACCGTCACCAGGAAAAAAAAATGACGTGGTGACAATTGTTGTGGTTGTTGTATTACGTGTAGTATCTATTCATATGAAATTTGACAGGTTATATGATCATACATGCACAATACATGATTATTATTTCAAAGAATGGAAGCAAAATAAAAAGTTAATGATAGTAATTATCATCATCAGTGAATGGGGGTGTAATTCATCAATCAGCTGAATTCTTATATTTGAAACATTACACGGAGACCTAGAAGTTTCTCGATAGAAAAACAAGAGAATGTTCCGAAGTTTCCCCTTTAATCTGGAATCGGTCGGTGAGGCAAAAAAAAAAAAAAAAAAAAAAAAAAAAAGTTTAGAATAAACAGATGGATATGCAACGCAAGGAAAGAAAAATGCCCCATTCAGGCATATATAGGTCCCGTTCATTTTACCGATTCAAGTTTATAATTCGAGTTTTGCTAGAATAAAAGGCTCTCAGAAACAGTCACATCTAACTTTTTACTACAGTAAAAAAATCTCACATAAAATCACATAGATCAACTCAAATTAAAAACTCAAATTAGCGAACTAAACGAGACCTTATTTTGCTGCAAACACTACGACATATCCAAATGGGTTTTGTGCCGTTTCTTGTTTCTTATGATTATCTGACTCGACCAATTGTTGACCTAACCTTCATCATTACGGATAATAATAAGCCTTATATTTTGGTAATTTTTCCGTGTCTTTGTTCCTTCCCCCTTTTTTTTTTTTTTTACTATTATGGAACAATTGATTTAATTTAAATTTAAAATGAAATTTTACTCTATTTTTCTTTTAATTAAGTTCACAATAAATATGGCCCTTTGGGAGTCAAAGTTTCATAAATGTTCGCAGCTATTTCAAATTTGATACATGGCTACAGCATTTGGTTTTCTTTTTTTTTATTTTTTTATTTCCGGTCTTTTGTTTACAATCTATCACGGATTGATTGTAATCTAATCACTACTTAACTGCGATTCATCACTATTTAGTCAGTGATTGACCACTGATTTGCCTTTTGTTTTCTTTTTTCATGGTCTACCGTTTTAACCTCAGTCTATCACTAATTGATTTCGGTCTATCATTAATTGATTGTGATTAGTAATTGATTGTCTTTAAAGAAAAACATTGGATAATCATGAAAAAGTTGGCCATGCACTTAAATACGGGTTATAAATGGTCCACCCAACCTAATTTTACACCTTTCTATTTGATGTGAAATAGCGAGTATGGGGAAGGTCACTCAATGGAAAATCTCCGACCCAGACCCACCTTTCCATAACTGAGAATGGAGGTAGAGATGTGGATAGTTTAGTGAGTAAGAGATGAGGATAAGAAATCATAATTATACATTTAAATATCAATTTAGATTACAATTTAAACCACACAGTTTAAATTTTGCAATTCAAACAAAAAAAAGTTAAAGATCAACATAATGTTCATTTGCTTTAAGTCAGTACATGTTCTTTTCACGCGCTATTGTGAACGTTTCCATGTCTTGTTGTATTAATTGTCGTGTGAGGATGCACTATTGACTAGCTTGGTAATTAGTTAAGAACTGCATTGCTTTACCATTTCGAAATTTCCTTCTTTCCGCCCCCCTTCTTTTTTTTTTCTTTGAAGCAGAAAAGCACTTAAGAAACTAAAAACGCGTATTCTCAATACAGAAAAAAGATTCAAAGTTGATCTAGTCGGTGGTTAAGTATATCACTTTTGTCCAATCAAAATCATTTCACTTTCATTTGTGAATAGATATTGCTTTTCTGCTTTTTTTTATTTTTATTTTTTTTATTTCGCAACTCTTATTCAAAGTTTCCAACGCGATATAGTAATATTTCCTAATGTAACACGGAAAGCTATTTTGCAAATCCCTTTCACTGTTACTTTCTTTTATATATCCTCTCTCTTTCTTTTTTGTGGGATTAATCTTTCCTTGTAAGCATTTTGTCATTGTTTCAAATAAGAGAGACCCCAACACCGAGAGTCAGGGTTTGCACTTCATTTAAGGACACTTTTACTAGGTTCTCTCTGTCCATTAGGTGATGTTTGGTAGATAGATTCGTTCTCTGATTCGAATCATGGTTCGTGGTTCGTTACAGTATTTTCTCTCATAAAAAATACACGTAAATCAAAAATGGTTATAATCACATGGTTCTAATTCATGAACCAAACGCTTTGATATTCCGCACTTACGCATTGTTGTCACGCGCTTGTGAGAGATTAAGTGAGCCTTTGCACGCCACAGGATGGAGAGGAGTAAAAACTGGCTTAATGGTAAGACTATTTCTACATACTCGGTGGTCACCGAGATTGCTGTTATAGCCAAATAGACTAGTGGACATAAAGTGCACTACTAGATTTTTTTTATTAGCAAAATAATAATAAGAGAGGTCCCTGCAAATGAAATTCTAATGAGCTAGTTAAGTCAACATAGTTATCGTCTTAGGGACCACAAATCTGGTACCTGGTTATTATCCATTGAACAGGAAAAAAATTTTGCTTCTAAATAAATAAGGTTACTTAAGGTCACTCGTCACTGCCAGCTATTTGTTGACCAAATTCTACCAACATTAATCTGGTAGCCGGTGGATATATTATAGTATGTATCGGATTATTTGCAAGGAAAACTTAAGATGCATGATGTTTTTATGAAGTAATTCTGGTTATCTACCACTAAAAAATCAACGAGGACAACAATGTGCTTGTTTGGTTCCCTTTTCAAAAACGTTTTTCACGTTTTCCAAGAACAAAAAAATGAAAATGCTCTTAAGAATAATGGTTTACTTGTTTTTTTTTTTCTTTGGTATTTTGTTTGGTCGAGAGTACTTAATTAGCTAGGAGAGTCGTAGCTGGACACAAGTATATATGTTCACCTTTAAAAGATCCCATGGCCTTTTTTGTTGTTGTTGCTGGTTATAAAAGACCCAATGGTTAAATAGTATTATCTAAATTGTCAAGTCAGAATACATATTTCAACTACTTATAAAGTAAGGCTTATATTATTCAAGAAGTTTTTTTCTTTTATTTTGCTAGTTAAAAAAGAAATGGTTAGTGTCCTCACGCCCTTATTCAATATAAATAAAAAGAATCAACTGATTCTACTGATCTGTTTGATATCTAAATTCGTTCCCTAATTCGAATTATGGTTCGTGGTTCGCTACAGTATTTTCTCTCACAAAAAATACACGTAAATTGAAAATAATTCTAATAACATGATTTGAATCCATGAACTAAACGCCACAGTAATAATTGAGGGTCTAAATCTTTTCTTTATCGGTTTACAATAATGTTTCACCAGTCCATCATTTCATAGGCCCCTTATATCCACCTATAAGTGACTATTGCTACTTTTAATGCTCGAATCTTTTTATGACTAGAGGATTCGAATCCATCCTACGCGTTACTCCAGCTGAAGAAAAAAAACAGAAAGGAAAGAAGAAAGGAAGAAGTTGGTTGTGTAATGTGTATTTTAACTCTTTACTCTTTAAAACAGTTTCTTATACTACAAAAAAATTAAAAAAGGGCAACAATGGTTTTGCCGCTGTTGGCGTACGCCTCATATCTCCTGAGTTATCCTGAGGTCGAGAGTTCGATCCTCTCTCAACCCATCGACGTTTTTATTCTTCAAATGTTTTAACATTTTTATTTAATTATTTAGGGATTTATTTTTTTCTTTTGATTATGTATTTTCTTTTCCATTTTTTTTTTGTGATAAACTTACCGGAAATGGATAGGTCAACCAATATCATAAAAATGTAATAATCACTTATTAAACACATATTATTAGGTACAAAACTTTTTCTACTACACTTGAGGAAAATATCCTTTTTACTTTAATTAACAAACGAAATTCAAGAAAACAAATGGAAAAAAAAAAATTTGGCTCTCGAGAATGTTTAATGTGTACATATGATAATACTATTAAATATGGGTAGTACTTCAACTCTAGGATGTTTTGGCTGCTGTGCATTCTGGAGGGAGGCCTTGTGGGAATCGTTTTGTGTCCGAGCAATAATTGTAAATCATGTAATTCTTCTGCACCCATTTGAGCCTTTCCTGGCCTGTGGAGTCCAGTTCTTGTGAGAGCAAGACAGAGCTTGAATTGTTGGAGTTCTTGTTAGAGTTTGAGCTGCAAGAAGAGGAGCCAGAAGACCAGACACAAGCCTGATCGGCATTGAAGCTCCTGTAGGAAGCAGTGAAAGGAGCTTGGCTCCAATCTGTCTTCACAAGTCCACCTCTTGTCGCCCAATTTTCCGCGTTCCAAAGGCTCGAGTATATTCGCATCGGCCGGTTTTTCGGGTAGGGAACGCCGATGGACTCGAAATTCTTGAACTCTCTGATGGGTGTTCCATCCACATAGAAGCTGAAAAAAAAAAAATATTGTTATAAAACTATTTTATTTTTTAAACGAGCAATGGACATGCCATGCATGAAATGTCACAGCCCTATATTATTATAAAGGAAGAAATAAGGAAATAGGCCAAGACTTGAGATGAATTAAAATTAATAGGCCAATAGATTACATAAGTTAATAAATAGGTCAAATTACTGTTTTCGTCCATAACTTGTCTGATTATAAATCATAACTTGACAAGTTATTGTCCATAACTGATCTGGTTATGAACCATAATTTGACAAGTTTGTCCATAACTTATCTGGTTATGAACTATAACTTAACAAGTTATTGCCTATTAATTTTTATAACTAAAAATTGGCCTATATACTTTCTTAAGCTTTTCATATTGGCATATTTCTTACTATTTCTGTATTATAAACTTACCAAATATTGACATGTTAATTATATAAAACCGTATAAAGCGGCGTATAGGTTACGTACACAATGTGTTGAGGGTTCCAGAGGATAGAATAAGTGTGAAAATCTGCGGTTGGATCAAACCACATGTAAAACTGTTGCTCTCTGTTGCCTTTGCCTTGGCTGAAAATATTTGTATGAACAATATAAGGATCACCACTAAGGTTCCCCAAGAACTCAAAGTCTATCTCATCCCATGTTGACCCCTCTGAGCGTAACTGCAACAACATTATGAAGATAATAAGGAAAACAAAAAAAAAAGTAAAAATACGTTTAAAGAACAATTGTTTTTGGTAATGTGTAAGCACTTGAAATAACAACTATACATTTAACACATCATGAGAAACATACTTACGTAACTAACTCAAGTGTGAGTGTCGGATCTTAATAATTTTATTTCTTATTAGTAAAGAAGGAGATATAAGTCCTACATTGTATTTAATTATAAAAAATAAAAAATAAAAAAACTTACATAATAAGCAGTAACTGTGCCAGCCGAGTTTCCTGGAACAAGCTTGACTTGCATATCAATCTTTCCAAACAAATATTCATTCTTGGATTGAAATCCAGAGCCCGAAGCTTTATCCAAGGAAAGAGTAAGAACCTTACCATTATTGTCCATCTTACCACGGCCATCTCCCCAAGTTATGTCGAAGTCTTGGTACAAGTTACCGGCAAAGGCAACAAGTACCAAGGAGCTGCTAAAAGCAACAAGAATAGCCAAATTTGGAAAAGGGAAGAAAGAAGCAGCCATTGAAGAGTTTTGATATGTTCTTAGGATAAAAGCAGTTTTCAACGTAAATGATTAAATGATAAGCTAGCAATTTTGTTTGACGAGGGCAAATGAGTGATCCAAGTCGTGACATTTATATAGTGGAGAAAACGGTATAGGAAGTTTGCTTACCATATTATTGCATTGATTAGAATTGGAGTTGTTGAAAATTTGGCGTGTGGGGAAAAGTATAAAGATACTAGATGTAAACAGCTGGATGCCAAAATGTAACTATGAGCAACAAATTAATAATTGCGTTCGCAAATATATATATATATATATATATATATATATGTATGTATGTATGTATATAATGTGGTACTTGTAGGCTTCTCGCAAATTATCCCTTAATTTTAAAATTTTGGATATTTTTCGGCGAACTTACAAAACAGTTACCATGTACCCCATTTTAATGATAAGTTTCTTAAATTGATAACGAAAAAACCCGTTCGATGAAAAATTTTAACATTCCAATTCAAACAGTGATACAAATATGTCAATTCCCCAACTTATTAATACTCTTTACATATAACAAAAATTCAAAACGAAATTGGTAAAAGGAGACACATTTCAATAGTTTTGCAAATTGGAAAGAAAAATTGTCGAAATTAAAGTTAAGAATTCATAAACAAGTTCCCACAAATTAACGGGTTAAATGTGTAAAATACTCTTTATATTATATCATTTTCATGGCATGCACTATGTTTGTTCAAGTGATTTTTCAAGAGCCTATTAGCTAGGAAACTGCTTTGATTTTTCTTTTGAGGGCCAGGTCAACTTTCTTCTTAATTGTCTTTTTTTTTTTTTTTCCTCTTCTTATATATTGCGTATGTTGGGTTAATTATCTATGGTTAGGAAGCTGGCATCTAGCACTTTCCACATTTATCCAAACATGGGTCAAAACTTCATTTCACAAGAAATCTATTAACTTCTAAACTGGGGGACGGTACTGCAATTTATTGCGAAGAAGAGATGATCTGTCTGGTTGCTCCAACGAATGTTTCAATTGGTTGGGAAATTGTTGTGTTGATAATAGATATCTGCTAATGTTAAGGTGGGAAAAAGATTAGATTTCTACCAAATTCTTCTAGAATATGTTTTCTGCTGAATAAAATAAAGTAGCTTATTACGAATCTTGCAATTTCATTGGAGTATAAAAATAGTTTTTTTTTAGAAAAGGCAAAAAAAAAAAAAAAAGAAAAAAAAAATTAACGATAGTCATATTTATATTTAATTAGTAGTTGAAAGTTACCCCTAAGATCTTTTGGTCTTGTGGTACCGAGAGAATTAGGTGAATGGGATTTGAGTGGAGGGTTGCAAGTTCAATCTCGTATTGTATTAAAAAAAGTTATAATTCAATAGTTTTATGTGATAATTGAAAGAATATATTATCTCGAAGAAAAAAAGGAATAAATTAACTTAATCTAAAAATTAAAATCAAATTTTAGCGTAGTCATTCTATGACCATCTACAATATAAATATTAATATCAATTGTATATTTGACACCAAAAAGTATGATAGCACATATTATTTTCATTTGTACTCTAATGCATAATGCTATTTAAAATGCTAAAATCTACTTATTCTATAATCATTGAGTTTTAAAAGATGTAAAAATATATTTTTAATTTTAAAATAATTTAAGAGGGTGAAAATTGTAATGATTGAATGAAAACGCAATTATATCAACCAATAAAAATTAATGATACTTTGGTTGGAGGATTCAAACCATGTAATTTGAACTATTTTCGATTTACGTGAATTTTTTGTGAGAGAAAATACTGTAACGAACTATGAAACATGATTCGAATCAGGGAACGGATCCCTCTACCAAACATCCTCTAAGTGTCAAATTAATCATATGTTACACTTGGTGAGAAATTTGTCACAAAATATAATATATTATAAATTTGTCACAATAAATAATATTGTATTGTAGAGTATTTTTTATACTCAAATGCTAAATTTACATTTAGTACTTATAACATTGCATGAGAGATGCTCTATATGTTTCAAGTTAAAAATTTATATTTATTCATTTTATTCAGCAAAAAGAAATCTATAAAATGGCGATCAGAAAGGAAGAACCAACCTTTTTTCCATTAACAAAAAAGAGCATAAAGGAGATTAACAACTATCTATATTGATGTTGATTTTTGAATTTGTAAAAGCTTATATTGTAAGGAAAAGGAAAAGAGAAAAGAAAAAAGAAAAGGAAAGAATGCGAATAAAAAAATTGAGTAGATGGAGTAAATAAAGTAAAACTTGGAAACTGGAATTTCGTGCATGGCAGACGACGCTTATTTTTGTATTATTATTCCTGCTCCTATCGTGACATAATATGACTGCACCCAGATTGAATTTTGTTGTTGTTGTTGATTTTTTTTTTTTTGACATTCTCGTTCTCACCCAGATTGAATTTTCAGTAATTCATTTGGCAAAAGAATAATTCCCTGCAAGAAAAATGTCTTTTAGCTTGACAGTTGTCTACATGATATATATTGGTGACGACTTTTCTAACCTTAAAAGTCTTTTTTAATAAAGAAAGATTTTTTAGTACGGATCATATACCGATAGTTTAAATTTTTTTAATTATTAGATATACATATTTTTTTTTTTTTTATGTAATTTTATATAGATGTAACGAATAAAAAACTTAACCTATTAATATATTGAAATACTAAAAAAGATCCCTTTAATAAATTAAGATTTTTATCAGGATTTTATAAGTTCAAGATCAACATTAGAATTTATATCTCAATTATCATATTTTTAATCACATCACACAGGCAGAGCCATCTTAGGTCTAGTGGTGGCAGAACCCTCGTTGACCCAAAGTGACCCGTATTTTGCCTCAACAATCTTTATTTTTTTTTTATTTTACATTTCTTCTCTTAGATTGCCGCATGACTTTTTCCGTTTGCGACGTCTATACGAAATTTCAAGAAATATTTCAATTATACCTTAAAGTTTAACTTTTAATTATCTCATATTTTAAACTTAAATTACTAAATAAATAAAATAATCAACGACGTTTAAGCTCACAGTTTGTGGATTGTAAACCTTGAAAAGTAAATTAAAATTTAATAAAAAGATTGAATCATTTAGATTAAAAAAATATATAAAAAGAGTAAAAAGTAGAATAACAATAATCGTACTATTATTTTACCTTAAAACTTTAGTTTTACTTACATCCCTTCTTTAAAAAAAAACAAACAAAAAGAGATAGAGACAAATTATCATGACTAGGAAATTTGTCAAAAAAATTATTATATAAGATGAAATTTTTTGAAATTCTCTGTATTACAAATATGAATACTATTATGATAAGTATTTGTTGATATTAATAATGAATAGCAAAGTATAAGCTAAAAGTAAAAAATTTCTCAAAGTGAGAAAAACGAGTTCAAATCGAAAACGGCGAAAAACTACCGTTGATTAGCACCATCGGAGCTTGCTCTTCATTCTTCGAAGGTAAAATTTCAATTTTTCTCCTCATTTTTCACCATAGATGCACGTCCATAAATAGTAGAAACCATGGAAAAATTTTTGCTAAGGATGATGATTTGCTTATGGTTAATAATGGTACCGAAAAACCCAATGTCTAAAGGATAAATTTTCAGTTATTGGGTTTTGTGTTTAGCATTTTTGTTTATGGAGAATTCTTGCGAGAATAGTGATGAAACCCTAGATCTTATCATGTTTATGATGATAAAAAAGAATGAGAAAGGTTGTGATATGTGTTTGAAAGGTTGAAACAACAGATAAAATGAGCTATGATTAGCTCAAGAAACACAAAAATTAGGCGGACCTCTGCCGAAATTGAGTTTGAGAATTTGAACCAAACCCGGTTGTAATGAAGAATGGGAGAAATAAGATGTGTAAAATAAGTTGATTAGGTGATCAAAGTTGGGTAGAAACTTAAAACGATGAAAATTCTCAGTTTCAGACCAAAATTGAAAACTAGATTATTGACCTGAAAATTGTACCCGACTCTGTTTTGGATAGAAGACCAAGATAGAAGCTTAATTTTAAAAAGTGACCAACATCAAGTTGAAGGAAATTTCATTCCGAACAACTTTTGTGAAATAGTTTTTTTTCCCCTAAAAAATGACCCTAGACATCAGTTTCGGGCTGATTTCTGAAGCATGTCCAAAATGGTGATTTTAGGCCAAATATGCACGTGTTTGGTGCATATTGGTGATATAGGAAATGTTTCGGTCAGGATACTGACAATGAAAATGGTAGATCTTTTCAAAGATTTTAGACACGACATGCACACTTCAAGAAAATAACATTTATGGAACCATGAATTTGAGTCAAATTATATTACAATTACTGGTCTTACATTGTAAATCTAACAATCGAGAATTTATATGATAGGATCAGTAGGCGATTAACGTAGTAAAGTTTCGGGTGACTCGAAAGTCGTGACCTTAGTGGAACTCTTATAAGTACCTGCAATTGTTTTGTCTATAACACGAACAAGCTTATTTCTCTGTGTTGCACAAAAGTGTGCATATTGTGAGTTTAATATATGCTAATATGTGAAAGATGCTTCTTGAAAGTTATTTATTGTGATGAATGTGCTTATGGACTTAAGTAGCCGTAGAATTTTAATCTGTGAAAAAGTCTAAAGTCAAAGTAAAAGTTAGAGTCAACAAAAATTGTTTAAAGATGCAATAATATGACTAAGATTATTGTCATAATAAGAAAAGATGACAGTAAGACGATAAGATTATATACTATCATGATAAGAAAAGCTTACCAGTAAGACGATGAATAAAGCAAAGATGATAAATGACGGAAAGTTAATAAAACTGTTTGTACCGGCCTACGCAAGGGAGGTTATTATGAATGAAATGAAACTGTGGGTTAGTTGGTTTTGGATCGCTACCCCAATCCTCACTGGTTATACGCGCTACGGTACATTAGGTACGAGGCCCATAAGAAGTAAAAATTATGAAAACGAACGACACAAGAATGAAAGTTGTAAAGAAGTATGAACATAAAGAAAAGAAAGCATAAGACAATATAAAAGAAAGAAGTATGA